AAGAAAAAACTAAAAAATAGAACTCTATCAACAAATATTGGACACAAGAAGTATATTAAAATAAATTTAAATTAAGGGCTAATATAGGTTAGTTTTTAAATTAATCAAGTGCTACTCCAATAATACTCCTAAAGGAAACGGTTTTTTATAAAAAACTCTCTTAGACCTTGAAAAATTGAAGTCTGGGTAAAACCATATTATTAGATGTATCTAAATTTTAAATAATATTCTTTTACTGCAGAGGGGTGTTAAAAAAAAGGATATCTTGAATTTTTAACCTAAATTTCTTTAAATCTATAATCTGAACAAAACTTGTTTTTGATATCCCATAGACTAATAGAGTCATCTCTACTACCAGAAGCTAATGTATTTCCATCAGGAGAGATACAAACTGACATAACTAAATTACTATGACCATCTAATTTGGCTTTTTATTATCCTGTTTTGACATCCCATAGACGGATAGACTCATCTTAAATGCCAGAAGCTAATGCATTTCCATCAGGAGAGAAACAGATTGAGTAGACAGTGCTATTATGACCATCCAATTAATACAAATCGTTTATTTTTAATTATTGCCAGTTACATCGAATTAATTAAGCTCCATTAGAATTAATTCCATTTATATTCACATTCTTAAATTAAGATTTAGATAAATTGCATTTAGCAAAATTACCCTCAAATAAATTAGTATTTTCAATTCTTATATTTTCAAAATTTTAATTCGTTAGATCCACTTTCATTTCAACCAATATATTAAGTGCATTAGACCCACTTATTATAAATTTATTATCTATCTTAGTGAGATGAACTAAGAATTTCAAAAATTCTATTATCCTAACCTCTTGATATATTTTTTTAATGAGATTTAAACTTGTTTCTGCATAGATTTCGGTGGAATAATTAATAGAATTAATATCATGTTCTTTTATGGTTGTAATTAAACGAGTAATTGAATAAATAGTCTATTCAAAAGCATCCAATTATTTCTTTTTTTACACAAGAGATAAATTTCCAATTTTTCTATAATTCTATTCATAGTTTTACTTAAGATTTGTTAGAAACTCAATACAATTCTAATTTTGATTCTCTTCTTTTGACAAAGATTCGTTTATAATATTCAATATTTATGTTTCTAAATTTTTTGATTGAACTAAAACTTCATATAAATCAGCTGCAATCAAGAACTCTTATATTGATTTATGGGTAAATTAAAAGTAAGCACCTTTTTATTAGACAAGTGAACAACTTCTTATATCTTTTTTATAAGCTCCATATTAATCATCATAATTAAAAAATTCGTTTAGCCATTGTTCTTCTTTTCTTTTCTTTCGTTTTAATATAAAAAATCCTTTCTACTTACATTAAACTTATGTCATCTCATTCTTACTCATTGTTTTTGTCAATCTAATTGAGTATTCTAATAGATCATGCAGAAAACGATCAGTATCTATAGATTTTCCTAAGTTTCTATGTTTTTCTATTTATTTCAAATTGTAATAATTGATAAACTCACTATAAAAGTCATAAATCGTAAGATTGTATTCTTTTAATGCATCATTGGCAAATTAGATTATTTCTTCCTATTTAATTTTTATTTACTTTAATATCTAATTTGGTAGCAAAAGATTTGTTTCAAATATATTTTCAAGTTATTTATGCACTTCTACAGGTTCTTAAGAGATTTACAATTATTAAGGGATTGAATTTTCTTCCAAAATATTCCAAACTCCAATTGCAATTTAATGGTAATCAATAGTTTCCAAATTTTATAAATCGTTATGAGTAACTTTCAAGAATTCATCATAATCAACTTAAATTTCTGCTTCAGATTCTTTATTAACTTCATTTATTGACTCCTACAGATGCCTTTTCTGTTGTGATTTATACATTTGAATTCTTTATTTACTTATGAAGAATTCTTTCATCATCTTTGAAAAATTTTTCAAGAAGGTTTATTTAATGTTAATAATCTCAGTTGCTTTAAGAATCATGTTGGGCAACACTTACACTATAATTTCCATCATATATGGAGTTTCCACTAATTTATTTAGATTTACCGACGTCATCATATCCTCATACTTTTTAAAACACCATAATTTTTGTAAATTTATGCTCAAGCTTCTTATAGCTTCATTGCTTTTTAAAGCAATTAACTCATCATCCTTCAAAAATTATAAAATACTGATTATTTATTTTTCATTCAAAAGAGTCTCAGATTTCCACCTTGCTTCATCGAAATTCAAAAATGATGTCTAAATCTTTTCCCAACTCTATTCAAACTTTTTAAAATCCAGAGCTTTTTGGTTTTAAGTTTATACTTACCATTCATGAATATCAAAAATTAACATTTTAATACTTTAAATTGTAAATTTCTTAAGATATTCTTATTTTTAACTCTATTCAAATTGAAGAAGCTAGATTTCTTTAAATTTCTATTTTTCTTCAGGCGCAAACCAGTCGGCATAATTGCTGCTAGTAAAAATGTCACTTCTAGTGGTAAAAATAACAAGAGGGTCTGACCAATTTTATTTGAGCTTATTATTAATGTATAAATTTTTCTAAATATTCTCTAGCTTCATTTCATCATAACTGTCCATTATAAATATGAATCTGAATTCTTTCTTTTACAACATTTCTTTACATTCTTTCAATTAGAGATCATCAAATCCATAATCATCTTATTTAAGTGATTCCTCTACTGCTTAAAAAATAGGGTTTTTTAAAGAGGGTAATGAAATATAAACAGGTATTAGTACATAATTCCCAATTTTTTAATTACTATCATGTAATTTCCAAATAAACTCTTCAATTTTTTTGGCTGTAGTACTTTTGCCGATTCCAGCTAATCCATGAATTAGTAATACTGTTTTCCCTTCATATAAAAACTCATTCACTTCTCCATTTTAATCGCCAAATTAATCTAAATTCATCAAATTACTAATCTCATTTTTACCTTTCTCTTAAGTTTTTAATGGTACATAGATGGACTTAAAATTTTTTTCTGCTGCTTCCTTCAAAACTGTCCATTTTCTAATTTCAAGCAATTATATAACTGATTTTCCTCTCAAAAATTTAAGATCATTCCCCATGTTGTTGAGCTACTCTTTTATTTGATTTATTTTTCCCTCAACTCTTAACAAACTTTTTCT